AAATTAATACGTATTCTAACTAAGCAAATTACCGGGTTAAATAATAACAATAATTTCTCTCGTAGAAACAAGACGGGGTAATCGCGCGGGACAGCGGATATAAATATGGCGGATGGATAGGGACTTTAAAAAGGTCGGGGAATTCGAACCTCGCTGTTTCCCGCCGGAGCCGTCCGCGTTTGTGGCCCCCGATATAGACGGGTACTCCCCGGGGTACCGGTCACGCCGAAGCCTGAGGCCAGGCCCCGCGCGTCGCTCCCTATCGAACTGCGCAGCGCTAAAGTAGAGTCCTTATAATGAGAATCAAGACATAAGAAGCGACGCCCTCGTGATTGGTCGCCGCCATTTTTAGGCGCTTTCGATGTGTTATTGAATCTGTAAATTGGTGTGAGCAACTGTTTCATGGTATAGTAGTAGTATAAACAGGCGCGAACGCGTCTATTTGTGCCACGCGTTATTTGTGCTGTTTCCAGTCGGCGCCCAACAATGGTGTCCTTCCGGTCTTATGTCTTGATTCTCATTATAGGGACTCTAGGCTATAGCCGATTCGGCCGCCCGCTGCCGGCGAGCACCCGGTCGGTAGCCGTCGCGATTCGCGCGCTGCGCCTCGAGGTGTTCGGACGTGGATTGCTTCGAGATCGTGGATCGTAGATAGGTGTGTCGTGAGGAGTCGTTGTGTGGGAGGCTCGGGTTCGCGGCGGTTGTTTGCTGGCCTGCGTGGCTGGCCGGGTTTATTGATAGTCTTGTGCGCGTGATTCTCATCGGCAGTTTAGTCGAGTGAATAGGCAGGTTATGTTCGGGGCGTCGCCCCCGGGCAAGGAAACGGGGGAGGACATTTCCGATTCTGTTAACCCTTCCGGGAACGGGTCGCGATCCCCTGTTACGACTTCGCATCATCTGAATTCCAATCCCAATTCCTTTCGTCAGAAGGCCAATGAATTCACAGGAGAGGGGAGCTTGGATGCTCATACCATAGACACTTCGCTTGCCAGCCTCCTCAAAGAGGCGAAATCTTTGGCGACTAAGGTTGAATGTCAATCGGAAAGTAGGGATCAACCTCTGCCCATGGAAATTGACCAGGAATTCGCTCAGCTATCTAGAAAGCGCGGCATGTCAAGTACCGATGCCGACACTCGCACAAATAAGGTTAAGTTGGTAGACTCGTGCTCATTGGCGAGAGCTGCATCCCCTCCAGTCAACAAGAGCGGCAAAGAGACAGACAAAGGAAAAGAACCGGAAACCGCTAATACGTCGCAATCGGTGCGGGTCAATCCACACAAAACTACACACTTCTATTCGGCAAATGACTTGGCGCCCTTTGCGGTGTATGTCTATTCGGACAAAAACTCTATTATTCACTTTTCGGTTCTTTCGCGCATTGTAACGGAGATTGCGCCCAACGATATCATATGCATCAAAAGATTAGGCGCGGGTAAAGCGCTCATTGAAGTAAAATCCTCGACGGCAGCTAATCGCATGGTCTCTAACCCCGCTTTTGAAAACTACAAATTAAGAGCATTCATACCATCGTTTCGCGTACTTAGAACGGGTATCATCAAGGGGGTTGATCAGTCATTGCCGTTGGACTGTATCAAAGAAAATATCCGCACCAATGTAAAAATTATAGACATTCAACGTCTTAATCGCCGTACAATCATCAATAACCAACCAACCTACACACCTTCAAGAACGCTATGTATTAAATTCGCGGGTCAATCGCTTCCCAAAGAAATTGTTCTCTTTAATGCCCTCTATCCCGTTGAACCATATATTCCCAAGGTAAGAATATGCTATGTGTGCTACCGTGTGGGCCACATCGGAAAAGATTGTAAGAATACAAAGCCCAGATGCCTATACTGTGGTCTAGAGCATGGAAGCACGGTGGTGTGCGCCAACAAAGACCTGCCACACACTTGCATCAACTGTGAGGGGGAACATCTAGCTACATCATTTGACTGTCCTGTCATTCGCAAATACAAAGAAGTACTCAATCTGGCAGCGTATGAAAACATTCCTCAGGTAGAGGCTAGAAAGATAATTAATGCTAACAACGGATATTCTACCAAAAGAGATCTTCGGAACTTTCCGTACATTTCTTCAAGATCTACACAACAAGACAGGGATCATTTCAGGGATAAATTTTCTAACAGATTTTATAACTTAAGGGATGAAGATCCAGGAGAGCACGACTCACCTCAGAAAAGAAGCTATGCTGATATCTTATCTTCACAAGCACGTTCTACACGTCCTACAAATAAACCAAGAATTATTAGTATGGAAACCCTTCCAACAGAGTGCACCTCTCACGCTCGTGATTCCAACAAACCGGCATACAACTCGAATAAATACGCATCCACGTTGCAAAAACACAAGGAACTTCTTCTATCAGCAAATGGTCACTCATATATTAACAACCAGCACCCGCTCAGGACTAATGATGATGTGTCAGGCTCACCTCAAGAGGAGTATTCGCGACAAAACTGGCATCACGAGAGCAATGGCATTGTGGATCAAATACTGGACTTCCTCATTAATCTCAGAAGTCTCCTTAACATCCAACAGTTCACATCGTTCATCGATCTCATCATTGAATTTTTACAAAGGTTAGCGACTATGTTTAACAGCTCTAATTTCAATCTGGGGTCTATTTTCAGTCTCTTTTCTGGATTAAAAGCAAGCAACTTATTTGACTCCACTGGTACATCAGCATCATACAGCCCTCTTCACCAACAATAAGAAGGCTTCACGGTCGTTTAGCATCCTACAGTGGAATTGCTGTGGGCTGCGTGGCAAGCTACCCATTCTGCAGAGAATCTGTAATGATTACGATATTATCTGTGTTCAGGAATCTTTGATGTATCCTTCGACGAACTTTGTCCTCAGAGGATTTCACGTTATTAGAGCGGACATCAGCAACTCAGGTATGAGAGGCATTTGCATTTTAATAAGAAATAATATTGTTTTTAGCACAATTGACTCATCACATTTACAACATGAGGACGTCGAGCTACAAGCCATCAAGGTTATATCAGATGATGACAGCATCGCTATCATGAATGTATATTGTCACCCCAACCGCAGAATCAGCCCCCATTTCTACGCGGATTTTCTGCAATTCGGAGAGGCTCAAAAGAACTGTATCCTGGTTGGAGACTTCAATGCTCATCACTCCGCATGGGGGTGCTCGACCACGGACAAGGCAGGAAGGTCGCTATTAGATGCAGTGGAGGGCATTAACGGATGCATAATGAGCGACGAGAAGCCTACTCTTTTGCTTCCGCCTGGCTCAAGAACCTCGGTCATTGACATAACCATAGCCACATCCGGCGTTGCTCCTCTTTGTGAGGTCTGTACAAATGATGACACTTACGGCAGTGATCATTACCCTGTTACGACTAAAGTCGGGAGAAGTCTTAATTCAAAAAAGCGATACCTATATCGTATACGTCTAGATTCCAAAGAACTTATTGAATTTCAGAAAGCCCTGGAAGCCGAATCTTTTCTTAGCTCGCTTGGTGACAATGAATGTGAGAACTACACCAAATTAACAAATCACCTGGTCAGCCTTGCATCAGAATGTAGCAACAGCAAACATAAAGAACCACGCACCATCTCTCAACCCAACGGACGCGCTTCTCCTCCGTGGTGGACGGAGGCATGCCAGAGGGCTGTTGTTATTCGCAGGGAGGCGGCCAAACGCTGGCAAAGGAAATCCACGATTGAGAGTTTTATGGCTTTTAAAAAAGCAAGAGCAAAGTGCTCTAAAGTATTATACAAGGAGAAAAAAAAGGGTTGGAGACGGTATGTGGAATCATTCACTTGTAAAACACCCACGGCTGAAATTTGGTCGCTAATCAAATCTTTTAAGCGCCGTAATTTGGCTCAGGCTTCTAACCGCAATTACGATCCGCTTGAGGAGAGGAAAAATCTGGAATTAGCTAAACAGAAGCTATGCCCCCCTTCTTGCTTTCAGGATTTCACCAGAAGTTTAGAAGAGATGAAACAAGATGACCTCAGTGGCGATTCTACGATAGAGAATATTGACTTTCCTATTACATACAACGAACTTGATTTAGCCATTAGTCATTCCAACAAGAAATCGGCCCCGGGCTTGGATCGCATTGGCTATAATATCATCAACAATCTCTCCAACGAATTCAAGAATCTCTTATTGGAGCTTTTCAACAGTTTTCTAGCAAAGGGAATCATCCCGGAAGAATGGAAAATCGCATTAGTAATTTTTATCCCTAAGTCGGATAATTCTGGTATGAGACCTATATCCCTGCTCTCATGCACGCTCAAACTTATGGAGAAGATAGTCTACTGGAGGCTGTTGTGGCTTACGGAGCATAAATCACTTCTACCCCAGGAGCAAATGGGGTTCCGTCCTGGACGATCATGCGTGGAAAGCTTAACTACCTTTTCCAATAACATCCATGCGTCATTCATCGGCGGGGGTGTGGTGGTAGCTGTTTTTCTGGACATCACCGGAGCGTTTGATAACATTCACCCTTTGGCAGTCTTAAACGAACTGAAAGCTATAGGCGCCCCGGCAAGCATCAGGAAGTTCGTGGAAAACTTGATCTCCTGCAGAACTGTTCATTTCATAGAGGATGGCGTTACTAGTGACAAGAACTTCGCATATAAGGGCACTCCACAGGGCTCAGCACTGAGCCCGCTACTCTTTAGTTTGGCGCTAAGAAAAATCGATGGGTGTATGTCCGAGGGAACGGAGTTTCTTCAATATGCGGACGATATTGTCATATACGCGTCTGCTACCAATCCGGCGGACGCGCAACGAAGTCTACAACTCTCTTTGAACAAGGTTGAGGAGTTCCTGAGGGAGAGAGGCTTGGAGCTCTCGCCTGCAAAGTCCAAATGGATGGTCTTCTCTCATAAAAAGCAAAAAAAGAGCAGTAGGCATCCCTCTCTCTATCTCCCACCAAGAGATCCCTAAGGTGGAGCAGGCAAGATTTCTGGGCGTGATCATGGACTGCAGGATGAAGGGCTCATCTCACTTCAAGTCCCTGATTAAGAAAGGCAGAGCTATTGTACAGATCATCTCATCGCTTGCGGCTGTGTGGTGGGGGTCTCACCCCCAGTGCCTTCTTAGTATTTACAGAGCGGTGTTCAGGGGTGCCATAGAGTACGCCTGTCAGATTTTCACGTGGCATAGAAACTCCAACCTTTTTCTACAACTTGAAAGACTCCAATACAGGGCGATTAGAATAGCCATGGGATACAGACAGTCTACGCCCATTAATGTCATTTTGTGTGAAACCAAAGAGCTACCTCTTAAACTTAGATTCGACCTCCTGAGCGCAAACTTTGTATTAAAATGTATGTCTAAAATAAACCTTCCTGTTATGCATAGCCTCGAACGTTTAGAAAACGCGGCTCGTACCACTTCACATAAAGCATATGCGTTAAACAAATCTTTGTCCTTTAGAAACTTCTGCTTTAATAAATGTGAATTACCCGAATTACACAGATCTTTGTTTCTTCCGGCTTTTGAGCGCGACTATTTATCCCTTATATTCCGCAAGAAATTCGGGGAAGTCATAATAAGAGTTAAAGGCCGTAGTAACCAAGAAATCACTCAAGAATTCCTCAGCAAACTACCTGACCTTAGTGCAGGAGCGCTTACTTTTTACACGGATGGATCTAGAATCTCAGAGGATGGATGCGCTGGCGCTGCGACCTTCTCCCCGGAACTGGGAGGCTGCTTTAAATACAAACTTACTACTAGTGCCTCGGTGTTCACGGCGGAGGCATGGGCCATTCTACAGACCCTAGTTATTGCATTGGACGCAGGATCGACGAGGGTGATCATTTTTTCGGATTCACGTAGTGTACTGGAGGCTATCAGCTCAGCCAGAATCATCAGTGGGAACTACATCATCCACAGAATCAAGCAAACATTGCTTAAGCCGGAATCTGAAGGAATTGATTGTCAGCTATATTGGATTCCTGCACATAAAGGCATCCCAGGCAACGAGATTGCAGACAGAGGCAGCTAAAGAGGCATGTTCATCGGGCCCTAGAGGATGCTTCAAAACCCCCTTCACGGACACCCAAGCGGAAGCACGCGCCAACTTTAAACGCCGATTTAATAACTTCCTTGATCAAAAAGCATTGTGTACTGGAGCACAATATGCAGAGCTCTTTCCGATTAAACCCACCCCATGGTATCACAAATTAGCTTTGAACAGGAGGGAGATAGTGCTGGTCAATAGACTGAGATCCAATCACTACAACCTAAATTACAGTTTACACAGAAAAAATATAGTGGATTCTCCATCGTGCCCTTGTGGGGACCCTAGGCAGGATGCCAACCACATAATATTCTATTGCCCTTGCACTAGAGATAAATTTGGTCCTTTGTGTAAGCACCTTAAGGAATCCTTGCCGTCATGCTCTAGTGACATCTTTCCCATACTCGAGCAACCATCATCCAAGTTATGCCGTCTACTATCTTCTTTTTTCAAGGCGATAGACATCTCGCCATAGCTCTGCGACACCCTTTCCTGCTTATTTGAACGCTGAAGGGGTCTAGGAAAAGATTGGCCACGTTTATCCGGTCTTCACTATCGCCGGAACCTGGGCCACTTAAATATTAGAAGAAGAAGAAGGTCGGTAGCCGTCAACCGACAGGCCCCGCCAAGGAAGGAGCCGCCCGGTTATTACGGCCAATGTGCCGGTGAAAATGTTAGGCGTATCATTGTAGGCTACGCAATTAATAAACCTGATAGCACTTATCTAGCTTTATATTCTGTTTTCCTTAATCCTCCTCCATATCCTATCACTAAAAAGGTATGAAGTGATGAAACAGCTCAATTGCTGGGAATATTAACAATAATAATAATGAATCTCTTTGCTAAATGATTATTTTCCAATTTGATACTAAAGTCTTATTTATTATTGGAGTATTAAGCCTGATGTCGAGCTCAAACAAAACTCTTAGATTACTCAATTAAATAACACAGGCTTGCAAAATTGGAGGTGTTGAAAGTTGATTGGGATGTAACTATGTTTTCTTACGTAATTTTTCGCGCTGAATCCTAATCCGGCGGCAGAATTGCTCTATCACGTCAGGTTTTTGAGAAAAGTGAGGTTAAAGGTGTCATAATTGACGTTTTTGGCATATTTGTGATTTTTTTGCTAGCGAAGTAAATTTTTTTTTCTACTTTCGTTTACGCCATCTGAAAGTATCAACATTTATCTTCAAAATATATATTTTTTAACGCCGTACGTTTTTTTTTCACCGAGATAATCTCTGTGTAGTCACACAAAGAAAAACATTTTTGACACAAAATGTTTGTGT